GAGAGGAACAGCATTAGGCACACTTTCAACAAGCCTGCCTAGTCGCCTGCAGTCATGTGAACGTTTGTGTTTTAACCGAACCAAAGTTATTTCGGCACCAGACTCGACTAAACCATAGCGTCAATGAGGCCAATATGACGAACACGTTTTCACGTGACAGAATAATATTTACGTTGAGGGCAACCACATGAACATGTATGTCTCGGTTTAAGTATCAAAATCAGTGTCTGCTGAGCAAACATTCGCTGTGATAAACATGGGAAATACCTATTCAAAGGCTGCGCAAAAATACCAGGCTCCATGCAGAGAGACCTAGTTTAACAGGTCCACTAACGATTGTTTAAGTGATTAGCTGATTTCAGCGAGGAACAACCCTAAATTAATGATATTTTGAGCATGAACATCGCGCGCTCACTTTGACAGACCAGCTAAGCAGAATCAAGTTACTTCACACGCCATCAACCTATATGGCAGAATATATTAGGTAAATGATAACCTCCACCAACCTGAAGCAACCGTTGTAATTATACCAAGAGACTAGCACCACATAAAGACCACTGGTTCAGCAAATTCTAAAATAAGATTGTCTAGCGTGTAAAATCACTCCCTTCAATGGAAAGGGGGTTATCCATTTAAACCTAATAATGACATTGAACACCACAATGTATTGCTGGGCTTACTCGGCAGGTTCAACCACTTCAAAAGGATAACGGCTATTCGCCTGCCTAAGCATGGTGGCCCAGGTGGCCGCAGCATATTGCAGAGGGTCGTTGGCACTAAAAACAAGAAAGCAGTCAAGAAACGATGGGTCACAACTAAAATGCGAGAACACATGCAGCCGCGCAATAAATGTGTCAACCCCCCCTGTCGTGCGTCAACTCACCGGATAGTTAAAACCCATGGGCCGCAGTATACTGATTAATCAGTCAAACCACAGCGGAAATTCGCCGCCGTATCACTGACGACAACATCACCCAAATCTGCTATAATCTGTGGAGAACAAATGATTCACTTTAGGTACTGGTATGATTTGTAACTTTTGTTTCATCTTTAAAATAGAACAACATAACCCTTTGGTCTACAGGGAGTTGGTGTATAAAAAGATGCCACTGGTCAACAGTGATCGGTATTTTTCTTGAACATCATTCTTGTACAAGTGACTAGAACTCCAAATTTATCTAACCATACCTTCATCACCCACTCATTTTGATTGTTAGACCATTAGTTTACCTACTCCTAATTCCGATGGCCTGATTCAAAGTTGCATGACTTAACACTATATCTCACTTAAAAGTCCGTGCGATTTAATGACTGACTTTATTCGACCTGGCGAACAGTCCACTCTTCGCACATAGCACAACAGCTCTTAGTTATGGCTGGCGACAGTATAAGAGATGGACAAACTATAATCATCTCCCACACATCCTGAAAGCTCCGTCCATTTCACATTTTCCTTTAGGTAAGTTAACAAGTTCAACTTCCCAAGAAAACCACAAAAGTGACAAATTTGAGGTGTCTCCATGGCAATTTTGAAGAATCTAGTCGGGGTACTTTCAATCGAACAGATTTAATTCTGCATCGTAAGATATCACCAGTTGCCGTCTTCCTGGGCTCCGATTCAAATCGGAATTCCGGACTCGTACCTGCACAACCGATTATGATCTAAATAACCCAACTTTCAGCGAATGGCTCGGAGTCACTTTACATAGATTGTCCGGTGATATCTTGATCATGGTGAAAGATATGTGAACCACCCAGAATACAAAGCAGGTTGACATTGTTCTTCGGCCGATAAATACGCACATACGGAGGACATTCACCTGATTTTCGATGTCAGCTTGACAAAAGCTGAGAAGCTGATTACTGCTGATGCAGCCAAATCTGGGTCCTCATCAGGTCACCAAAGACACGTGATACTTGACAGATAGAACAATTTCATGATCAGTAGCTGTGCAAGGAAAAGCAACTGGATCTCAGAAGGTAGTGCGAATTGGGAAGAATTGGAATAGAAAAACGGTCTCCAGGGATTGGTTTGAAAACCACCAACATCAGGATCGTTTCTATGGCAGCCCAGTGGTTACTCGTACAGTGTTGTGCTTGATGAGTAAATGACGGAGCTGAACTCTCAAGGGCCGATAGTTTGCGTCACATGATTTGATGGAGCTGACTGGTTAAAACAGCCACAATAATCAGCGATGCACTAATAAAAGTAGGTCGTAAATAGAAACGATGTTGTAGATAGTATGGTTGTGTGGCACCCGTTACTGGATTTGCATCTCACATCGAACGAAGTCAGTGAACAGCCTTGCACAGAGGTTATGCGGTGTGCCCTGCACCCTATCTTAACCGGTGGGAAGATAAACAGAAGGGAATATTTATAAAGCCGTCACGTGACCGAATGGCTACAAATGAACGGTTGAGCCCTGTAGTTCATGCAAATGAACCTCTAGTTGTGCGCACCAGTCAGGGCACGCATTCCATGCATACACCTATGACTAGCCAGGCTTGTTAACTATTCAGCCAGGTCTGTAGAACGATGGCTAAGGGATGTCATCTTCACACCACCTTATGTTCCTGATGTACTTCCACGTCATGGACTGTAGGCTTAATGAGTGTTAGGCTTAATGAGTAGGAATAGGCCACCTTGACGTCTTAGACTGTATACTCAGCATCAAACGCTGGACTTATGAGGGGAAAAATACTACAAAACTAAGGTAATGAAAATAAGGAAGTTATAATCTATCAACCTGGTGCAAAATTAATCACGAACTTCTTCACGATACACAGAGGAGGGTCGACCACAGCTTACACGATGAAACGATTGTCTTTGCACTTTGAAGTAGAAAGAAAGTTGGCCACCTATGAGGATCTTTTCGCTTGGAATGGCCTACTGAAGCTTTTCACGTTCGATCACACCATCTAGTTGCTATGCGCGACATCTCAAAAGTACCCGCTGGGCTACAATCTAAATATTCATGTGAAAGGAATTTTGTATCCTGACTTTGCTTACTCTCAAACAAGAAAAAGTCTTTATCCTAAACTGCTCACCGTGGCCAAGGGTTTAAAAAGAAATAATGATCGTTCTGCTGTAACGTTCATTCGGTACCGAGCCTCTGCGTTACCCGGAGGAAGCATGAAGTTTGAGATGCAGCCAGGTTACCCAAGCCTGGACATGAACAGCCTAGGTGCCAAGGCTGGATTTGAAATAAGGTATTTCCATTCAGGAAGTTCGTAATTTTAGCACTGGACTATCTCAAGCACTGATATTCAGTTACCAACACCTGGACAAACATATATAAGAAAGTAACCAAACTTTGAGGTCAGCAGGATGGGAGCTTCTTTCGTGTACTTCAGGCACTATTAAATATGTAACGAATCGATCGGCAATCGGAGTGTCTGTATTCAAGGCGTCTTAAGAATTTAAGAATCTAAGATTCCTGAGAAGCTAACCATAACTGTCTGTTTGTTATACAACACTTTCTACATTCCAAAATAAAGTCTCTGTTCTCTAAAATGGCTAATGTTCTGATCCTGAAAACACTGCTCAGACTGATGAGAGTAAAACCCTCTAAAACTAACAGAAATATTTCTGAAATCTTGTATAAGATCATGATATTTTAACATGAAACATGAAAGCAACAATATACAAAAGTTAAGTTTTTATACTGGCCACCGAAATACACAGTTCCATTACTGCCTGATGAGCTCGGCGGTCAATCTCTCCACAATACTATAACTCATGAGGCAACCATCAAAAACGAGATCAGTGGCGGGTAGTGTGGGTATTTCTATCCAACGATACGACACTTTCTAGGGATTTTCAACCCAATCGTTCAGTGAAAGATTATATTGTAATCGAAGTGGATCGGCTAGTTGAAGAACTCTTGGGACTGTTAAGTGATGTAGACCAGAAACAATGGGATGATTTGGAGACTTATGAAAAGCCACTCAATAAGTAGTTTTGGACCACTCACGCAATAGTTTCTTGTAGAATTCCATTTGCGTGAAAATAATACTTAAAATTACAGAAAATAGGCATAACGGATTTCTTAGAAAGCTGGACAGTTGACTCCGGTGCTCACATAAGAGAATAGATATTCCTAACCTTTTAAGGGACGAACTGCCTTCCAGAATGGACCAAGTTCTACCGGTGATCCTATTCCAGCGGACCACACAACGCATTCAAAAAATGAACCCAATTATTCTGGGTATTCGCAAGTTTATCAAAAATTCTGTTGTCAACATCCAACCTTACCACGGGTTATATATGAGTATGTTTCAAAATGTTTGGGATCTAGCATATGCGCCTTGTAAGACCTGCTTAAAGATTAGAGTTGTGAGGGGATCTGGCCATTTTCAACTAAAATTAGGCCACTTAAGAGAAGCTAATCTATGCTGAAAAGCAGAGAGACACTGTATAGCTGTTTCATCCTTTTCGAGAATCAGAAGCAGCGTGCATCTCACGCAATTCATGAAATTTCGGTCTCGTAACCTCCCGGTCAGTGGTTGGGCACCACCGTTTGGCCATCACTGAATGATCACCAGTGTGTGTAACTCGTATTCAGGCACGATATAACACTACCCATATTCAAGTCACGGAAAGGAAATCTTCAAGTGGATCATTAGACATTCGAGTCTTTCGCAAAAGATGAAAGTTCCGTGCATTTGGTTATAACCTGGCCTCGACCACTCCGGCAGGAGCGGCTCTTCTCTAGTGGGTTTTTTTGGTATGAGGCGCTCGTTTTTTGAAGCAAGGTTTCACAAAAAGCTCGACTTGCCTCAATTTTTTCACGATACTTCCTAATAAAGTTGCACATAAATTTACTCACTCATTACTTTGGAGTAACCTTCCCTCTGTGTTCATGAAATGGTGTACCTTAACTGGTATAGCTGCGTCAGGTTTACAAATTTTTATAAGTGGAAAACTATAAACTGGTTCTCCTACCTGTTGTTTATGGTTATCTTTCTTCTACACAATGTCCTTCTTTCTCAGCAGGGTCATGAATGGGGATATTCAGTCGCCTCAGAAAGTTCGCGCTCACCAGGACATCGCAGAAGGTGTTACCGTCGAAAGTCATCGATCAAAGCTACGGGAAGCCACCGAGTTTGAGTCAATCACAGTGGCCGAGCCCATGGAAAAATACGCACCTCCACGACCTCCGCTGAGGTTGATTTTTGAGGATCATGGGGTGAGTGTGTTAATTCCTCAAGGAACGATATACTACTTTTGGTTTGGTATTTTGTAGTTGGGTAAATTACCCTTGCAAGCCGTGGCTACTTAGCCGGTAGGCCACTAGGAGGTGGAATTCCTCTCACATTGTATTTTGTTCCTTTAAACTTGTATGATTAAGGCTATCAGCAGTTAAGGCGATTAGATCTGATGGATATCTAATGTATAATAGACTTCGCCAAACAGACATTTTTTCATGGACAAAAAACTTGGGTTGATCAAGTTAGAATGAAACTTTTAGTAAATAACTTACTGCCTGCCCAGTCCCTAACGGTGGGTGTGTTTAAGCCGTACGTATTTATACACCTGCCTCCTTTAATATTTTCTAAAATAAGTGACTTGTTCGTGTGGCCAGGCATGGTCGGCGCAACCGATAACATGGCGTGGACACAATGGTACACGTCACTGCGGACTCGCCTGAGCTACTTCCAACCGATATGCTTTGAGCAAATAAGGACAGATGTGCTTACCATGCGCTGCAACTAGACAACTAAGGTTGAGGAACACTTGATGAGTACGCCTATCAGATTAGACCCAAGAACATCAGAACCAGTAGCAAAGAGTTAGAGTTTTCAGCAACCTTCGAATAGTAGGGTGCGTCGTCAAAGGTTTACTTCACATACCCCATGGCTTTGACCTATTTCACATTTAAACTGTGAGACTCGGCTTGTACTCCAATTATTTATTGTTGTATCTGTTATGGGACACCCCAAACCCTCCTACTAAAATTTCAGAGAACCACCGCTCAAGAGGTAGAAGAAGTCTCCTCGACTAGCACAAAATCAACACGCGATTCATTTAAGAAGAGGACCAGTTTTGCTGAACGTCTACAAGTTGTGAACCTGTCACACGAGGAGTTGGCTCGCTTGGCCAAACCCGAGGTAATGGATTATATGGACCAAGATGTGGAAAGAAGTTTAAGCGAACAGGTACGTTTTGTAACTCGTAACCATTCAGTTTCCCCTTGTATGTTTTGTCTTTCCATAAACCTGTCCAAACTTCAGTACCTGTCTCGTCACTGACAAGAGACAAACGTCAGTAAAGTTGCTGTGCTTTTGTAAGACAGCAAATGATAGACGGAAACTCACCAATCGATTGGTGATAAACTGCTGCTTTTTTTTCCGCGAGCTTGAAGTCAGGTAATGAAACACAGGAATCACCTATCCAGTTTTTTCATGCCTATAAATTGCTGAACGTCTCGTTGATGTATGACGGACGATAAACCAGCCGACGCCTGGTTCAAATCAATTTGTACCGAGATCACCGCACCACAACCGAAGGCGCATTTACTGAACCTCGTCTCATATACACTGTACCAAAAAGCGAACCACATATTAGCGCCGAAAAGTTGTTAGGCCGGAAAATGGTTGGCGCTCTTCAAACTTAGGAAAAAAAGTCATTCAGAATTATGTGAGAAAAGTGGTCGTAAAGGTCAAATAAAATGCTGACTAGATGAAACACTTTCTACTCCAGTAGGTTGTTTTGCGAACAGTATGGCAACTTCTGTCGGTTATCAGCTTCCTGTTCCGCTCATTGTGTTATATCAAAATTCACTTTGATGGAAATAAGGTAAAATTATTACAACTATGATTATGGGGTTATTGAGGACACAAGGACACACCAAAACCTTCGTAAGCGAGCAGGAAGCGCCGAGCCAAAACGCTTTATCCTGTTTGGCTGACCTTCCGACCAATCAGGGCATGGCTTCGTTCTCTACGTCACAGGCTTACCACAAATCCGTCCATTCGATGTCATGTGCGGTATTTAGAATAACCAGTCTCCGGACAGTATCCAAAATCAGACAGCGATCATAGCTGGTGCACATAACGTCATTTGTCTGATATACCTAGTGTGTAACAATCAGTTCTGGACGGGGATTAGGATTCCCTATAAAAATCAAACACTTATTTTGTCCGGGTTAGTCTCTGTTGAGTGATGACCATACTCGATTCGGGGTGGTCTCCCAGTAAATAATATGCCACCTGATCTGTTAGAAATGGCAAGGACAAAAGATAAAAATTCTGGCCTCTGAAATGTCTTTTGTATGGTTGATCTATTGGTCTATTTGCCTAACTTGGTAATCGTTACACGCACTGGTGTCCCCACGACTGACCACGAATGACCACTTTTGACTGGTGTACCCATTGAACAGTGTGCAGATATTTTCAAAAGAGAAACTAACCACAAGGTTGCTGCAAACTCATCGAGAACGTACCACCGATTTCATTCATGTTCTTCAGGTTCATCAGGTAGGTACAGTCCCCGAGTTTCCATGAAACTCAATTCTAGCTGAACCCGAAATGCACGAAATTCGACCTATACATTTATTTGCATACCAGTGTAATTTTGAGAGGAGCCACACTGGAAATCCAGGTGAATCTCTCGTTCGTCGTAGTCCTGCTGCACACAGTTCACCCGTTACTTTATTTTGCCTGATATTGGAGATATTGCAGTATATTTTCTCGAAGGAAAGAACTCTTCGATAGCTCTTCTTTGGGCTCATCAGTTATCTTCAGTCTCAAAGCAATATCCTGCCAGGAAAATGTACTGTTATATCCCGATAAACTGAAACATTAAACAACATTTGTGTGGTACAATCAGTTGATGAATATCATGAACGAGGTGAGCCTACCTTGAAAACCAACTTGGTGTGCAAATGAGTGAATTCTGTAAGTTTCGTACAATTTTGCTTCAGGTAGACTAATGGTAACTCGATAACTGCGCCGTCCTGATGAGCCAGGAGAGGATAGCTAAACCGGTCCTGAACCGTCAGAGTCTTCGTCAACCATATGGGTAGTTTCCTTCAAAAAATTTACCAAATCTTAATCCATCCCTCATTCCTGCTTGGTTTGACAGTCTTCTCACAGCTGAACTGACTAGTACGTATCAACCCTTGGAACCGAACCCATTAAAATCTACTCCAAATTCATTTCATTCTGAATACTCTTCACTGGGGAACTCGCTGTTAGAGAAGAATCCCGTTCTAACAAAATCTCTTTCCTGGAAATACTTTCGTCAGCAATCATTCCGTTCTTCCAGTTCCAAATCCTGTCCTGGGTTGCGGGCGTTATCCTCCACTAATGTGTGAAAACGCGAAGTTTTACACTGTGATTGGCACACAATGACATTTGAAAAATTAGGTTAGGTTTGCTTGTTACTCGAAGATTTGCCACAATCGACTGGCCAGTACCATCCGTCCAGAGACTAATCTTGGATAAATTCAATACTGGAGCACTGTGTGATTAGGTCTATTCTAGTTCCAAAAATTGTATATGATATTACAAGTTAGTTTCTTGGCTTCCTCCCGAATGTTCCCTAGAAACCCAAACCGGCTCGAGAGCGCTTGTACTCGAAAATTCAAATCTGACTACTGCCAATTGTTACATTCATTGTTTCATTATGCACGTCAATATCCCTCATTTGAACACAGTCTTCCTCTTTTCCTGGTGCACTTATTCTGGTGAATTCACAAAACCAGGGAAGCAGTGGACTCAAATTTAGCTTTTATCAGAGTTCATCAGCAGAGTCGTATCTGAGCTTCGAACACGGGGCATAGGACATGCGAAGCAAGCGTGTTACCACTACCCCACCTGTGCAGGCTGGAGAAATCTGGATTTTTTTCCTAAATTTTCCTGAAAACACTACAATTAATCGAAAGTTGTTAAGTAGGTTTCAAGCATCCCTGGTTTTACCTGACGCGTAAGTCAATGGATCGACACAACCAGGACATTTACCTGGTCGCCTTTTGATGCGTCGATCGTATCAATCACACTGCTCAAACGGGAACATGTTTTCTTGTACAAACACCATGGATCAGGTGGGTACACCATACAGTGATGGAGTAGCAATAACGAACTAGCATCGGATGTCAGATGCGCGAAGTCCAAATTCAGATACGAGCAAGGATATGCACTGTTGCTGAGTTTTAATAAGTGCGAAACTGGAGTCCTGGACTTCCCGCCTTTTGTAGGGTCTAGTCAGAATAACTGCTCCAGGATGAGAGAACGATTTTCTAAACGAAACTGAGGTGGGCGTTAGTTCCAAGAATTCCGCAGGCATTTACAACTCACTGATAATCTTTAATCCTAGACAGTGAGTGAACGGAAAGTGAAATATAGTGCCTGCATACTACTAGTGAAACGGCGGATACTACTACTGGGGCATGCGAGCAGCACGTTGTTTCTCGTAACTCCGGCCAGATCAAATAGAGGATGGGATTCATTACGCAGCTTGTGGAATTGTCTTGTAGCGTTCGTTTACATTTGCTTGGCAGCCAATGAATGTTCAGGAAAGCTAAAGAAGACGCGTTCAAGAAGAAACGGATATTCAGACTTTCGAAACTACGTGCATATGAGAGTTTGACCTTCCTGTCCAGCTGTCTGTAACTGTTTACTTGGTGTTTTCTAATAAACAAATGCGGCAATGGGCTTTCCTCCTCTCACCCGTAGTTTACGCATTGAAAGTGCTGTTTCGTCCCATCCTTCAAAGATTGACTAAACAGAGGGAGAGACAGATCCGTGAAAACCAAACGGGTTCCGTCCTGCAAGGTGATGCATGGATCAGCTCCGTTCTGCCCTGGACAGGATGTGCCTTTGCTCGTCATCCCACTGTGTGTCCAGTCATTGCGATCTTGCATCACGTAATCTTGTATTATGTCACCCCGAGTGATAGTTACTCAGAGAATAGTTCAACCTAAGCGTTGAGGCATCGTTTTTTTAAGTTTTAAGTGTTGAGGACACATCACAAAAACTCATGATAATCAGGAAACTACATTGATAAGCTCACATGCTGAGCACAGCTGTCGATAGGTTTTTCTGAATTTATTCCATATTTCTTGATTTACCTTCATATTACAGCTTGAAAACTGTTCCGTGTCTACACACTCCGTCTATTCAGAAGAAGGCAATGATGTAACTGAGTAAGTCTTGACACAACACACTACCCATCAGGTTGCTGCTAATTTTTCACTCAGCACCGATTTTTCCCGTCCACCTCGCACTCACAAAGTTTCCATCAAACGTTTGTTTTACTTCGATCCAAATTAGACAGAGTTCGAGAAATCCTCTTCTTGGAACACCAATTTACTTTTGTTAGAACACTCACCTAGACCCCAGCTGCATTTTTTGTGACGGTCTATTCAAGCACATTCAGCTGAAGAATACCTCCATAAAAAAGATAAAGCTTGATTCTTTGGAGTATCTTGCAACTGAGAGTATCTGTTGAGTAATTATCACTTTACAGTTGTATCACTTCCGAATCGCCCGACCGCTGATTGTGATCACATTGGTTTCTTATCGATAAACAAAAAAACCCTCAGTGGGTCCTATAGTATCTCACGTAGTTTCAACTCCCCACATAACCAATAGTGTCCTCGGATTGTTCGCGAAACGTATTTTGAAGGACAAAGTTTAGGCAGCTACATAGCTAGAATTAATCAGCAGCCACAAAGAAACGATAAAACCTAACAGTGACATCTATTTTTGAGAATTTTCACCAAGTTACTCTGCCTCCTAGGGTCTTTGCTCTGCGCTTTGACTTATGCTTCTTGTTAATCCGATTCAAGTGTCGTGTAGCCGTCAACTGTGAAAATAAACACGACCACACCAATGAAAACGTCTTAGTCTGAGGTGATCACGATAAAATGGACTTGGGTTGAGGTCACTTGTTTACCCATGGAAAGATTCTAAGGCTGACAAACAACTCCAAGAAAATAGCCTCAGGTTGGATTGCATTGGACCTATTCATTCGGGAAAAAGGCTTTCCATAAAGGAGTATCTGTCTCATCAAGCCACGGGATACAAAGCAAAATTCATGCAGTGCATCTGTGTTGTCTTGAAATGCTAACAGTCTCAACGTAACAGTAAGGGCGCCCATGGTTGCATCCGTGGGCTGTGAATGACCGATTCCCCATTGGGCAAATAGATCCACGATAATAATGCGCTGAGCGCATAGCTTCCTTCCATAAAAAGACCATTAGACCGACTCTTAAGACTTCGTGACGCCGTCAGACAATGTTCGTAACCCAATGTATCCTGAAAGCTAGCATCTTCAGGGTCTACTGAAATGTCTCCATAGGATTGCATATTTTCTATTAGAGAGGGGACCGTAGTACCATAACTTTCTGATGGATGTTCGGTAGTCCGCTAGTGAGGAGAATCTTGGTACGTCGGGTAGTGTAGATTGTTGCTGGTTTGTTGGCTAAGATGGACAATTGATTGCGTGCTTGTCGACACGTGCTGCTCGCTGGATTTGACCTCCAGCCACGATTGGTTGTTCAATGGGGCGGTTCCATTAGTTGGTCTTTCACCCTGCATCCTGATTGGCCAGTGGCCATTTGACCTTTGGCCTCCCTGCTCTCATACTCTGGCCGGTGCTGCAGTGACCTCTGCCCTTGACAACACTGGGCTCCAGTTTGTGACCTTTGGAGGAGGTAGTCTATTGTTAAGTTTTGCGTCGACCAGGTTAAGCTCTGTATGCAGTCCAAATCACTTCAGCTACTCATCCGAGAGCACCGTTAGGATGAATCCACACCACACTTCACGCTATGGTAATCCATTTATTCTGTATTCAAGAGCGGTAACTGGAGCTATATGTAAATGAAAGAGCGGAAAGGGAGATCCTTTTGGAGACTTTGTAATTCAACAGGAAGAAAGTATCCAGTACTCCATCCCACCTGCTGATTTGCGTACCACAGCAATCATGTGATATTTTTCCGGGCTAACTTAATCAGGCCACATTTTAATGTATTTAGAAAAGCTTTCTGGAAAGCTGCGTAGATCAGTTATCTTCTTGTAAATTCGTAGATTAACGCGTGTTTCCATGCGTACTGTTGTTGAAATATTTCCTGTGTTGCATTTTGAAGCTGCAAACATTTCCCCTTTGAAGAATATTTTCTCTCGAACATTACGGAACTTATACACCACTCATTAATTGTACATGTCTTCTTGCAGACACGTAGTTCTTTTACATTGCTGACTTCGCCCAGAAATGAAACTCGCCCCGAGAATAACTTATGTGCTGAAGGATAAATTCATTCACTCGCACTTAACCAGCATGCTTCCGGGCGCCGATGGTTTGAGTTTATCTCGGAAAATATCTATCAATTTGGTGGCTAACAATTTCTTGGTCCGCTAAAATCTGTGTACCATAAATCCTGAACCATCCGTTAAAAAATGAATCCATCGGTAAAAAAAGACTTAAAGTAGTGAACGCCGATCATTATTTATTTCGACTCCCGCAAGTGTGACGAACTATGCTCTACGAAATCACGTGGTGTCGAACAGAGTTTGATCTTCCGAGTGATGGGATTATTAGCATGATTCAGTTTGGATGCGTGACATTTTATCAAGTCTTATGATGAAACAAACCTATTACCTTCATTCAGGCCACCTAATGCGTTTTAACAGAACAATCCTGTATCATCACAAATTACATTCCGCGACACTTGCATAAGGACAGCAACCCATATTGATTTTTTGCGAGTCTCATCTACAGTTTCGAAAAGATTTGCATTCACTCATCGTCTAAGCAATTGTAACAATGTTACTCAAAATACTTATAGAAAACCTACCCGGAAGAAATGTCTAAGTTAGCTCTCAATGCTGAAAGAGCGTCATCTGGAAATCAGATTTAGTCAAACGAAATCGTCCACAGGGATCAAGATTCCACTCAACATTGACTGTCATTCATACTGATATCAACTTCACGTCCACAAATGAAACTGAAAGTTCAGGACAAGTAAAAAAGCGACAACATTTGGTAGAGCAGTGTTGGTTCACAAATGAGACCGGATGTGGCCAAAATCTTGCTGTAAGAGGCTATATTTTGCCCGACCAGTATTTCGCGCTACCACAAATGTAATCGCTCATTCTGTTGCTCAGGCGCAAAAATGTTCATGAGCTTGTAGCGGGTCATCTAGTGTGTGAAATTGCAACCGCCGACTGAGTCTGTGAGAAGTATTTAAAGTTTACAAATAAAAAAATGACCACAAGGAAGTAACACGAACATGCTCTGAACTGAGTCTTATGCTTGTCTGTTTGTCTGCTAAAGAGTAAACAAAGCCCCTCGGAAAATGTCAATCATCGACCAAACAAGATGAGTGTTTGCAGTCACTCAGGCCTTTGCACGGCAGTAACAGGTCACTTCATCGGAACCCACAGATTACAAGAATGTTCTTGATAGCGCACACTCCCTAGCATCACGGTGCTAATCCTACATAAAATACATCATAATGTACCGAAAAGAACAAAGAGCTCTATCGAATGAATAGGACAGCGATGGTTGCACAATACTGCGTCGCCTTGCTTTTTGATTCCTCTGAATAATCCTAAATTAACATATTTTTTGGGGGACTTCGGCAGTGTTTTTATCGTTAACCGTCTAACCTATCGAGGAGTTTTGCCCGGTCACCGTGGCACAGCGCAAATTTTCGTGGACTCTTAGGCACTTAACACAGTGCCCTGTAAGAGAAAGTTCGGTTGACAAAAGGTGAAGATTCTGTCTTCTGCTCTCGATGGCATTTCTGCTACTTCTGATCCAGTTGGAGCACATACATATAGAGATTCACGTAAATTTCCCAGGAAGTCAAATGAGGGAGACAGATGAGGAGGTTTTGTACAGTTTCGTCTCACTTGGCATTCGTTTCTACCTTTCTTGAAACTCTCAGGAGCTGACAAAATAGTCGTTTTGTTTGCGACACAATTAGTCATAAAGCCTTGGTATTCTACAATCAAAATTTCCCTTGTAAGGCTTTTAGAATTGCATGGTTAGACGGAGTTATAGCAAGCTACCTCTCAGGGCGATACAAAAATGATCTTCAGGTCGATCATTTCACTCAAGTAGGCTCGCTTTTCAAGCACTTTCAAGTCTAATTTATACCTTTTCGCCATTACTCTGACTGACACTCAACGTTTGCCTGCCCTTTATAGTTTTACGGGTTGTGGAAACCAACTTCTTGGGCATGAGGATAAGGAGTAAGGCGAGGAAAGCGTCGGGTCCGTATGGGAGTTTCGCGTCCCATGAAGTGGAAGAATTGTATTTTTCTCCGAGCTAAATGGTTTAGTAGGTAAATTTCGGGAAATTACGTATTGATGATCCGAAACGGACTATGATAGGGCTATCCCATGGAGCCTCACGTTTCTCAGATTTCTCTGGGAATCAATAGACTCGTGAACTAATTTGGACTGAGAGGTTTTTAAGACAACCTAAAGAAATCACTTGAAAAGCTCAACCCGCAGTCTGGCTCCCTTGATTGAAGTTGTAAGCTCGGCCTGCAAACCTGATTGCCTTGAAGTGGAATAATGTCATATTTGGCTACTATGATGGTGTTCCTCGGCTAAATGCTAGCGCTGTGCTGGCCTACTTTGGAGTGGATCGGGCGCTCCAATTATTCGGGACAACCATGTTATCACATCCTGTTTTCACTCGTGTGATGGCTAACCCAGGTTCGGCATGCGGTAGACAACAGCGATGTCATTGTGGCAGTTGACCAAAGCAGCGGCGGTCATTTTACCCCTGTGGTCAGCTGCTGAGTCATTCTTGTTTAGCAGTGTGTTGAAAGCAGGAAAACTCGATAAAACTTAAGTTAACCCAGCAAACTGACAGGCTTTATTACCCACACAAGGTAGGACAGCTTCCCGTTTTGGTCACACCTGGGTGGTTGCAGATTCATGCACAAAAGGCACTCAGTTCCATCAATAAGATCACACTGAAATAACCCTGCAGTGTAATTACTTATGAATCAGAAGATAACTTGAAAACTAGGAAAGTCGTGGGATAAATAAGAGAAGAATGAAGACTTTAGGTACAAAGCGTTTGTTATAGCACTAGCCTCAGCCTGGAATTCGCTGTTATATACCCGTCAACAGGCAGCCCACCAGAGAGATACACATTAGGCATGATAAAATCCCCGATTAAGGTAAAATTCCCAGAAAGAAGCACTTCTCCTCGCTTATCAGATATTACATTCAGTAGCTGAGACGCCAGAATTACAGTTTCTACGCAAGACAAACTTTTTTATCCATAATGTGTGGTTAGTTCTCTTCTATGTTAACACAAGATCACGGCTTCGGATTCCAATATATAAAGTTTGGAGAGTGTCCAGATATTTCAGCAATAATCGCTCAAGTGGTAAAAACACAACCGCATTTTTTGATAAGTAAATCGCACAGCAAACTTCCGTCACCCTCTTTCTTAACCCCTGAGAGAAACTCGATTCTTATGATGAGGAGTAACCACAACGTGTGACTAGGACAGTGAACCATTTGAATCTGGCATGTTTAAACCCAAATTGAAGGAGTTACGGGTTGCTTGGTTTGTTCCGAGTAAATAGCCGGGAAAACTGACGTCTCACTATCCCCAATTCAACGTAGACTGGTTACTGGTCACACAAGTGGACTTGTGTGTCTTACTTTGAGGAGTAGGTTGAAGTAATCCAAACAACCTCTTATGGCGTTGAATATCACGTAGGTAGATGATGATCTACGTCAGTCTAAAAGCATTTTGAGATAGCACTCTTATTCATTATCTTTAGTTATCCGTCCAATAGCAACATGCCGCAAATACTCCTAAAACTCAACGACGATGTTCATAATAGTAAAAAGATTCGTATTCGAATGGCGCGCAAGAAGTGATTTGAAACCTACCCGTGGTAGTCTTCCTATCACCAATGAGGTTTCCCCCACTCGCGTAAAAAGACACCCGCATTGAGAGGTCCGAAAACAAGGGGTTACATTTTTCCCTGTTCTTCACTTCTAAACTGACCTGTGTGGTAACTATCAGGACAGAAACGTGCAGCCCATCCGGGAATTGAACTCATGTTCACTAACTATCAGGACAGAAACGTGCAGCCCATTCTAAAAGTTGTTCATCCAGGAATTGAACTCATGTTCAGAACTCCACTATCATTATAACGGCGTATACTGCTGATGGGGCGTGCGAGTAGTCCGTGGTCGTGTAAAACCTCTGCCTCGCATCTAATGGAAGGTGAAGTTTATTACGGAACTTGTGGAACTTATTTGCAGTGTTTGTTTACAACTGTGATGTAGTCAGCGAATATCCATGAAAGTTTAAAAAGGCGCGTGAGAATGTTTAGTTTTTAAAAACTATGTGCACATGAGAGTCGTTTACTTTTCTGTCCAATAGATTGTAGCAGCTTAGTTGCTAGTGAACAACTTCGCAGTGAATGGTTTCCTTTTTCATCAAAACAAGCCAGTTTATCTTCAGGAATATTCTTTGGTTGATTGGCAAATGTGATTGTTCGCCACCACCTGATGAAGGACTGGAAGATAACACCTTTAAGAGCAGTCCACTTATGTTATTTTTGAGTGGTGCTTTCAGATGGCTTCTGTGCACAGAAGTGCTTGCATGAACGTCACATTATCAAAACAGTGACATATATTCAGCCTGACTGGACATATGAGTAAAAGCTCAGTATCAGTATTTGGAAATGCGAGGTGTTCTCATGACGTTGTGAGATATTATCTACAAGTGACCAACGAAAAGTTGATTATATCCTTAAACTTTGAGGGGAGGATGACTGTACTAATTGACTTTTCTTTTAGGTCTTCATTTTCTAAAAGTTAGTGAAAATATGAGACTATTCACGCGACCAGTGTGAGTCTCGTCATAGTCTGTTTTTAAGTATGGCCGGAAACATCTAAGTCCAACCGGATCTCTCCGAACTCTAACTTGGGGTTCCATTGGGTGCGTGAGGTCAATCTACACACTTTTTTTATCCTCACTGGAACTCAGAATCTGTCTTCATCTCATCTACGCCAAAGATGGTTCGAACTCCGAAACACGCGGTTAGTACCTGGAGACCAGGCAATTTTGTGGGTAGCTAGCAATTAGGCAGGTTATAGTCCCCTTCACCCAACAATTATGGAATCCACACCATGTGGTCACGAGGTGGTTTCCTGAGTATCGGCCTTATAACAGTCTGTTTCCAAATCTCCGCAAATTGTTTGTAAACGCGACCGAACGGGTAAGTCGTCTGTAGTCTCACTTCTCCTGTCAAAAGGACGTGCGGATTCTCACTACCTGCACTGGTCTTAGGAAAAGGACCCCAATTAGGATTTTTTATCCAGTTATTTTGGAATTCGCGTCCTTTTGCATAGTCGGCTGACTGTTCTTAGCCCTTTCGATGACCTTTGCGAGAGGCCTGATGGATGAGTTTACCTGATCGGGTGATGAAACTGGCTGCTCCTGGAAAAGCAAACGGATATGCGTTTTGTCCTCATTGGGACTCAGCTGAGAGATGCAACTGAATTTAGTCGTCTGATGCCAAATTCGGAGGTCACATTTCAAACTCAACTTGGGCACCCAACACCACTAGCACACACGGTGCACAAGAATCCGCTGCTCGCATCAGTTCTGTTAGTAACCGATTGATGCAGATAACGGTTCCTGCTATTTTTGGAATGAAAATGATCGTATCACGGGTTTGACCTCAGACCCCTTTGAAGAACAGCCTTTCAGCCGCGAAAGAACAGCCTACGATTCACTAAGCATATGACGAATAAATTGTGCAACAGGATGAAATGTTTCGTCAATCGCTTATCCAAGACCGTTTCCTACCGTCTTTCAAATACGTACAACATATAACTTCTTATTCAGCCATCGTCTCTAGGCAACACCTTTCCCTAGTTCTCTTGTGCTACATTTACAATGACTTTCGAGCCTCCTCTGAATAACGGAGGTGATAAATCTGTCTTCACCTCTGCAAAGACGCTGAGGCATGTTCTTAGCACAATATACTACTTACAAGGTTACTCAATACTATTCTACAGCTCAATGGTCTTCGCACCTGTTGAGCTCATCAGATTGGTGTACTCCACAAAGTTCTACATGAACACCCAATGATGAACATGCATATTTCTATCCAACGGCTTGCGCTGATTTACAACACCTCAACACTGCCGGCAGTTAGCAGTCGCTTCAGAGACACCCTACTCTATTAATGAGCACCACAATCAATGAAATTAGCTGGCTGTGGACATGATTATGAGCTCCGAGTGACATAAATGAGCACAGAAATTGTGGAAACGTTCTAACAGAGATTCAGGCATTTTCGAGAGGGGTCAAATGGGTTTAGAAAACTCTCGAAGAATTTAACACCAAATTATTGGTGGAATATCAGACAAGTTTAGGTACTGAGCAGTAAAATATCTTGGTTTGTGCCATCACTGGGAGTGATGTTTATTGCCTTTCAGGGAAAATCAACCAACGGACGCCGGAGCACGTTTAGAACAAATAACAACGCGAATATTTGGTGAGTTCCTTTCAATTGCCTGTCTTTTTATTGTATCGATTTGCGCTCAGTCATATTTCTTGCGGGTCGATTAACTGACCCAAATATGTGAATCTTGCCTTTGCACTCTTAAGAACGCGGGAGCTAGACACTTTGCTAAAGGTTCCCTGATTCTTCAGGCCACGGTCCCACAATCGTTAAAATCGACATCTGGTGAACATCATGGGTTGGGCGTAGCTGCTCAGGATGCTTAGAGCAAAAGCCTGTGAAGAGCATGCGTTATCTCCGTAGGTTGTCATGAGCAACCGCCCAAGCCCAACCCAAGTTGTCCAACATGGAAACCATAAGGTAGTTTCGATAAATCAACGGTTTAGGGTTGAAATATGTCATTCGACGAAGAAGTGACAGGAGCGTTCCACTGAGACCCTAAGTATTCACTTTGAATAATTATTGTCATGTGAAATCGTTATTTTCTGGCAAAACCACTTGGGGATTCAGACAAGGAGACAAGGTGTCCACTACTTGAATGTAATCCTAAAATTCTTGTACTACAAGTCATGTTCACTGATTCCCCAATGTGAAAGACAGCAACTCACTTTGAGTTTACAAACTAAATGACATGAATTTTTCTGACGAAAAAATCAGATGAAACTCTCGTTTGTTACATCCTATCGAATGGGTTGCACAAAGGTCACCCATGTTTTAGTAGTATTCGGTGAAACAAGTCATCCAAAGGGTTGCTTAAAACCAGTCACAGAAAAATTTGGAGCAAACTTATGAGAAGTCTGTTTCATCACGTAATTGATTCGTCCGCCTTGGTTCACAGTAATCCAGTATTCTATGGCTTCTAATAAAAAAAACATCTAAGTATGAACGTTAGTCAACCTAAAGTGGGGCTAGATTGCTGGTTGTATTCGTAGAATGCTAACTTCATTGGACCATCGGAAACAAGAGATTCGGCTGGATTTATTTGAGCCTTCAGTCAGTATCGATTTTTGCGCAAATTATGGTATTTATCGAGAATTAAATGTTCTTGGCAGTGATGGGATTCGTTTCCTGGTCAGCCAATAGGCAGCATGAGCAGTACGATTAATCCAGTGATACATAATGATCGAAAACGTTTTCAGTTTCAGCAGCTTCTCACAAAGTTGAGGCCCTAGTTATTTAAGCTTTCGGAATATCTGATACTCCAGATATCAGTCTGTGAGGCCCAAACCAATTGAATCAATCGCTGAGCTATGGCATACCATGCGAACTTGACACAACTATTGGTTGCGATTAAGTAGGGGGTGAAACCAGCGAAAATGAGATAACGTAACTTACCACGAGTGCAAATCTGTTTCCATTCTGTCATGGAAAGATGTGCTATCACACACGTTTTAGAGAAATGTGATTTTTGACGCATCACCAAAGCGCCCGGTTAGTGACACTCAACTACGTATCCCGGAAAGTCAGGATCACTTTTCCACAATCAATATCAGTAACAGGATCAAAATACAATATCAAGGACATCAGGTCCTGAGGATTTAAGACAGAGATGGAAAACGTGGTTTTTCTAGTCTAACATGAAACGGATCAGCACAGCGTACGTAGTTGGAAGCAGCTACCTACTGACTGAAAGGCAAAATCGATAAACTAGTCATATCAGTATCAATTGAATTGGATTGTTGTTGTCCCTAGGACCAAACGTTTATGGTAAATAAAATGTAGTAAAATTATCAAATTTTTGGATTCACTGGCATTCCCACTGTTATAATACAGAGTGTATTCGCCATCTGCGTGGTCAGAGCAAGACAAACTCGCATAAGCATGCTGTGAGAATGTCTGTTTTGTTGGTGTTGGTGCGCTAAAGCATGTACTGGCCCATGATGCGTTCTTGTATCATGTTTCAGTGGCCTTGCTATACAAGAGCCCAGAACAGCCTGGAAGCGCCCACACTGAACAGATGGTAGTCGGTACGGGTAGTAAATCGTCTGAAGTCGTTTGTTTATCGGATTCAGGCTGGTTCTATATGAGCAAATCCGGCTGTATTTCGTGTGAAGCGCACTGCCTACCTTCCGTGGAAAATAAGGCACCAAAACACAATTTTAACTCAACAAATTTTCCAGGCAACTTTTGCCTCTGTTAACACAAGGTATTATGAAGCCAGCCGGGTCATATACAAATAGTACGGCTGTTTCACGCTACAAGCATTTCAAAACATATCAGCACCTATGATTGGCTAGTAGGGCAAAAACCATCGACCACAGCGCAAAACACGTTTGAGGAAACAGAAGTTTCAAGCATTGCATGTTTATTGATCGTAGAGAGCCGAGGTCCAAGTTTTCAAATTTCTTGTGACCATCCCATCAAGAATGTTGGTTTCATGACTTTACAAGTCTTTTGAGATGAGATCCTTGTCCAAATCATTAACAGAGTTCCAATTTTCACGGGTATCCACTCATCATTCTGTGATACACTCAACTTTTTAATAGACTAAATAATCGGGAATCGGGATGTCATGAATACTCCTAACAAACAGCCATAGATGAATCCTTATCGTGAAGGGATCATCATACACTCAATTGTATTCTCAATGTAGCTGTTAGCGGTGTCTCTTAGGATCTAATTGTTGAGCACTTAGTCGACAAGTATTAGTGATGTTCAAAGAAGACTCAACTAAATCTATAATCATACTACCAAAATGCTTCAGACGTTACTCATCCAAATCACGTGGTCGGAAGTTTATACTTTAATTCGTAATGGGAAAATGTACTTTTGTGCGTAGAGTACTACTAAGACCACGCCTTTACAAAATTCCAACCTTAAATTACGAGAGAAATGTTCCTTTGGAACACGGAATTGGAACCCCGTCTATGTTTATCAGTGTTTCGCTTCTTCTCAGACGGCACACTATCATCGTATTTTTAATTCTACCCTAAAAATAGTCACACTTCTCCCTGATGACGAAACCGCAGAGCAACGCCACCACGATCTTCTGCAAGCTCAAACGCGTCTCTATAATCTAACAAATGGATCGAAAGTATTGGTGAGTTTTAACCTGCATATGTGTCACATTTGGTGATTGCAGGCTTTAAAAACAAAGATACACCACACTCTTGCACTTTATTGTGCTTACGCGATAAAAAAACAGATAATTTGGCGCAAAAAAGCAGAATGTTGAAAAACTCTAAGGCGCTATGCGTACTTGTAGTACTTTATACCCGAATTGTCGTCCATTGAGTTGTTTTTGAGGTGACGTCATTCTAAGAGAGCTCTTCGATTGGAAGATCGACCACTTAAAAAAACAGTTTGCTCTAATTCAGACACTCATATAAGCTGTGTTTACTTCACATGCGCTTGTTAGTTGACGACGAATAAATCGTTTTCATCATCTAGTTTTGGAGTGTGGGGCCTGTTGGTTGGACCAAATCACCATGGTGTCATAACCTTGGGCACTAACCTTTGATTGACACCAGGCAGAAAGGTTGTACTGTAACTGATTAGGTTATATCCTCTTCTCGTGCGCGTATACGAACAACTATGGAGTCACCGGCACATGTTTTTGCTGTGTTTTGAACGAGAACAGATGGCTCGTCAGCAATGAAAGCCCTTGAATCTAGTTGCGGATGTCTGGTTATTACCCCCTTGGATAAGCTTTTAACCTTGGAAAGTATCCTTGTAAAGACCAAGAGACTGACCGGAAGTGGTCACTTTATCGTGTCTTTCTTTAAGAGAAATAAATAATTGATAGTTAAATGCAGAGTTGCTGGACGATATCTCCCCGAATCCGAAGTTCTAGAACGACTTCATACGGAATGAACATGCTGATGTTATCCAAATGGTTTTTGCGTGTCTTCACCAAGAATGGAATGTGACAAGACCCAGAAAAACACTGTTTCAAGGCCTCTAGCTGCATTCAACCTAAGCCTTATTACAATCCGTTTAGTCAACATTCCTTCTGGCATCTCGATATCTGATATTTGATTATTCAAAGTCTGGGGGATTTCGAAACTTGACGGTCTTCTCCCAGTGCGTATCAGTTCCAAATCAGATTTGACAGGGCTTTATAATACTGGTCTTTGATGGATTGTATCGGTAGGTATCTCATTGAAACGGTGGTTGAAGCAGTTGCTCCTTACTACTCAGAGAACAAGGTAGTAGTTGAGTTGGGGCTACAACAAGGTTGGGTCTGATCTTACACTAAATAAAATAGGAACCAAATACAGTCACCATAGGGTACTGTCAAGTCGGTGGTGAAAAAGAACGTGGTGCATACATTACAATTTGATTGCTTTCGGGTGAATATCTTGGGGAACAAGTGTGGTCGTCTTCAGAAATGTCACGGATACACCCGACACAGTCATGGCGACCATCTATCAGATCCGCTCTAATCACGTTCCACTGTTGGCTTCGATGACGCATTCCACAAACCATATACAGGCCGAGTTGCTTCATGTTGCCGTTACCTGAGCCACATTGCCCTTAGTCTTCCGATGCAACAAGACCATCCTTACCATGGTGTAAGGGTTTGGCCTAATAATCTGATATCGGTAATGTTTCTGCAAGTTGCGCGCTTACAAACTCGTACTCGGGTCAATATGAGCTCACTAAACATGTCTGCCGAACACCCAGTGGGTGAATTTTTTCAATCATGATATACTAGTAGATGGGTTCATGTAAGGTTAAATCCGTTGGATTTGAGTTGCCTTTAGGTATGTGGTATTTGGTTCCTTGTCAAATCCGGGTTTTTACAAGTTTTCCTATCCCGTAGGAAATGCCTCGCATTACCTCCAGACTTCGTATGCGGAAATTCACATTAATTCACTCTGAATGTTATTCTCTCCATCAGGTTGTCAACTGTGGTGAAGTCAACACACAACTGATGACCATTTTTCCTCTGGTGAGTTAACTACTGTCGATAATTTATTGCCTGAAGTGTTGCTTGTCAAATGGAATTGGTGATTTTCTCGTAGAAAAAACACTACTGATGCCCCAGTACGTTCGAGTTGATTGATGTCGGTAAAAAGCCTTGCTCCTCTCCCAGTATAAGTGTTTGGAAAGTTTACAAGCGTCCAAAAATTTTCCTGATTTTTCTGATTTCATGAAATTTCAACTATTATTAAATCGACTTATTTGGTTAACTCATCTTAGCTAATTGTAAGTGGTGCAGAGTTTTTGAAACTGTTTTAAGAGTCTTCCTTCTGTTTCGGGACAATTTAACTGGTTAGTATGGATAGAAAGCAAGAAGCTCGTAATGTCAGAATTCCTGGTCGTGTCGGTCATCGTGTAAGAATGAGACAGACAACTGGGCAAAGGTTCTTCAGAATTCATATCGTAGCTCACACAAACAGGTCGTTTCCACCGTATAAATTCGGAATTGTGGTGAAATCTTCTGCTGTATTTGATGAACTGTGCCTCCGGCCGGAAAGTGAAAAGTGCTTGAGTCAAAACTGGTTCACGAAGCGAGTCGAGAGGCGGTATACTATTCATAAGATTGCTGGAAACTCCTTGACAGCCTACGACCGGTTTTGCCCTTTAACCTCTGACTCATCAAGTGAGAGCAGTCTCCGAGTTTCCGTCAAACTTCTGTTCCAGTCGAGCCCAAATTGCACGAAATTTCACTTATACACTCACCTACATACCAATTTGGTTTTCAAGAAAAACTCAACAGAATCCCACCTGAATCTCTGGCTTACAAGCTTCTTCATAACGGGAAATTCAGCTGGGACTCAGGTGAGTCTCTCATAAAAACCAAATTGGTACACAAATTATTGTATTTGTCGGAAGTTGAGAAGTAATGTAAGATTTCCTATCTAATATGTCCGATGTGTTCATAGTTAATGACTTCGTTCTCAAATCCATATCCTTCTCTCTCTCTATTTTCACATTATTTTGCTGCCGATCAACAACTGGTAAAGATCCAAAACTGTCCGTTCGATCTGGACGGATATCCGGATTTGGCAACATTTATAGCCTTCTGTGAACGGGTCCATGATTGGTTATTGCTATCCAGCACCCATGTGCTTCTGTTGCACGCTGAAGGCGTTGTGGCTCAAACACGTCTGTTGCTACTCCTTCGATCACTTTCTTCGTACTACGAAACAAATGATTGGTGAGTGTGGCATGGTGGATTTGTCTAAATAGACGCCGTTCTTCCGGGGAGAATGTTGCTGCGATGAATACAAGATAATGATCGTTCTGCTATAACATCCTTTCGGTACCTAGCTGCCATGCCACCCGAAGTTAATGCGAGGGCTAAGATAGTGACAGGCTGCCGAAATCTAGACACGAGGAGTCACAATGCTGACGCTGGGTTCAAACCAAGGACCTTCCGGATAGTAAGATGGTACCCTAACCCCTGAGCCATCTCGGGCTCGATGCTACGATAACGACTTACCCTAAGGGACCCCTTGCCTTTTCATGACGGAAGTAGGCGTAAAATCATATATATCCTTGGCATATGAGACAGCAATGACCAGCTCTCCACTCGGAGTGCATTTCGAGAGGAACATTGATTTTTCATTTTTACGAAGAACAGTAAACCTACCTAGTGAATCTACACCCCTACCCCACCCCGAAGATGTGCCAGTCTCTCGAAGAGTCCATAACACTCTCATTTTCTGGAAAATTTGGCCCCGGACGAGTATAAACGGTATGTTCTATCCTGTACCTGCCGGAGCACACGATGAATGGTATGTCACACAATCACGTTAGTACGAACAGTCAGCCATCATTAGGCGTTCGTTCTACATGCATCTGCAGAACACTTTGGACAAGAATTCTTGACAATTGTCGTTTATGATATCCAACTGGGGCTCATTCGAGTCATCCATTAAAACAAACCTTAGTTGCAAGCGAGCACACTTCTCCTTTCCTTTTGTGCAAAAGGTCAGTCGGCTTTTGCGAAGCGATCCGTCAATCACGTCAGGCTGGCTCGACCGTAGTGTGTTGAATAACTGTGTTGTTTCCCTACACGTAGATCAGACATCATTTCATGGCGCCGAAATCCCCAACAGCTGATCGATAACAAAATGACGCGAGTTTTGATGACTAATTCCGATGCAACCTCTGACTATCCAAGCCAGATATAACGAGCGTGACCAGACGTTGCGACCGAGAGATGTTTCACGCCCGCATTCGTTAGAAAAACCGCACGTGAGTCACCAAGGCACCTGGGACGTTGAGTCTCGCGGATAGAGAGGACTGAATGACAGGTGTCTGGTGAAAAATCCGCTTCCAAAAAAGGTTATTTAGAAGACCTGAACGAAAACGAAAACCGCTAGTGTGAATAACAGGTGTGCGCCGGGGTGGAGCACATGGCTGTTTAAGGTAGTTGAACGTTTGCAAGAAATTAGATTTGACCAACGTCTGCTTCTGGAAGAACTTTTCGCTCCACGAAAAACATTTTGTAAGGACAAGGTGCGCCGCCCACGTTTCCGATGCAGCTGCAGATTTAGGAATAACATCAAGACAATTTCGCAAACCTTCAGAAGAATTGTATTCATTGGCGTAGGACGCATGTCCATTCTTTCCTGATTACCAGGCGATTCCATCGCTTTTTGGTAAACAGAACTTGTCAAAAAAAATCGCCCGAAATAGGACCGACTCAAAAATAGCTTAAATAATTTGTTTGATCACGGTAGGTACGGAATTGCATGTTGACCAGAGTATTTATCTGTTAAAGAATCGGTTGCTTCGGATTTGTCTCTTGGCTGTCTTGTAGCATATATAAACACCACACCAAGACAGCCCAACAACAAGACTGCGGCCTTTAACGCATCGCACATTCGTCGCATGCAGTTGGTTGTTTTGAGGAAGAATTTTTATTAAAAAAACACTGGGTTAGAAACCACGACAAGAGTGTGCGTGCGACGTGGTCTCAACTGTAAGGCTGATAAAAAGTGACTGACCGCCTACTACCAATGCAACAGTATATATTACTGACGAACATACGAGTATTATTTGATCTGGTGTCCAGGCTCCTCTCTCGAATCTAATGGAAGGTGAAGGGTACTACGGAAATGAGTGTTTGCTCAAAGAGCGTCTAGGAATATTCAGGGGGACTTTGGAGAGCGTTCACTTTTAAAATGATTTATTCAGATAAGGTACTTTTGTTCTTTGTGGATTATAACCGCTTAGTTCGTGTTTCCCAATAAACAGTTTTAACTGCTTTCACTAGCGAGAGAATAGACGGCCATTTATGTGAAGCAGTTTGTCATAGAACACGAGCCAAGCCGTTATGACCCATTAGACACGAAAAGGTACTTTTGTTCTTTGTGGATTATAACCGCTTAGTTCGTGTTTCCCAATAAACAGTTTTAACTGCTTTCACTAGCGAGAGAATAGACGGCCATTTATGTGAAGCAGTTTGTCATAGAACACGAGCCAAGCCGTTATGACCCATTAGACATGAAAATAAGTACCTCATCCGCACAGAGGTTTTTTACTAGTGAGCATTTCTGACGTACCATCATGAACCATCTTGGACGTTCTTCGAACCGTGAAAAATAATTAACGAACAATTCAAAGCAGCTCCATAGTTTTAGTACCAAACCTCATTATCCATCAGATGCGGGGTGGAAATTAGACACCAGACACTACTCACGTACTTCGGTGGTATGCATCATCAAAGAGGTTCTGCCCAGTTCGGGGATAATCCTCCAATGCCCATTACTCTTTTTGCGTACTTATGCACTAAATTATATATATGTGGGGTTTATCACTCATTTTCAAATTAAAATACGGTTAAGGTAAATAATAATTAAAGTAAACAACCCGTTTATATGACATTATCCAGGTACGTTTGTTCAAGAAATATCATTAGAAACAGATTCGATCGAACCTCTCCTCGGCGTTTCGCTATTTATTTACTAAGCTATCAACGACGCGAATAAACTGCGGTACGGCGTCATGTGTAAATATTGTAAAAGTTGTCAACACACTGTCCATGTGTCATGTAAGAATTGTCAGCAAAGCTGCACGCATTTGTGTGGATCAGATCACCCACAAGGTATGATGACCGTACAGTTGAGGCACATTTATGACGCACTGTTTCAAACATGAGAAACAGTATCGTTCTTGTCCATAAAATTGTATCCCTCCACTTTTCCACAAGAATCGCATACAAATAAATTCCAACGGACTTCAAGCGGCCTTTCACAAGTTTTTTAACTGCTAATCGATAGCAAAAATTCGTTGGACATATTGATGTGAGCCTTGAGCCGGACATCAGCTTTTGATCTCGGATCCATCGAACCGGAGCTCTAGCAAGTCTGATATTGCATCACAACTAACGGAGTGCTGGTCAAAGTTAGCGAGCATTGGTTGTAAATCCCGCTACTTGAACCCTGTGCATTTTGCCATAGGTTGAGCCTGACGGAAAGACCGCTTCGGAAGAATCCAAAAGTGAACTTGTGCGTATTGACAGAAAAGCCTTCTAGGGCACTACATGCTGTTTCAACGTAACCGAATGGACGATTTGATCGTGCTACACGTAGACTTGAATTGAACACATCTCTCTTGGTTTACGGACTAGCAAATTTTTCAGCTTCATGATTTGTTCTTTCGGTTTTTCTCTTCGAGGTTCGATCCGATGCATTGAAAATCACGCTCCAAGTAAACTAACTGAAAACCAGGCACAGCTTCACTGACTTCGTATGTTCTAGATCCAAGCAGACGCTCAACATTTGCTCAATTGCGCGAATGACGTATCAATTATGATACACCAAGCAATGAGGCACATACCTAAACCATAAAAGGGAAAAACAGCAAGTGAAGAAGACCTCATTGTTATACTGAGATTACGGACCAGCGCGAATGACGAAGTAGCACGGTTTTCTTCTTTTCAATATGACCAGTTAAAATTGAAGTCCTCGTCAAGGAGAACATTTTCCGGAAGTCGGTCTAATAAGACAGGTGGCTTCTTTCGTATGGCTATTACGGTGCAAGCAGAGACTCCGAAACCAGTCACAAACGGCCTGCCTGGAGCGTTGTCAGGTATGCAGCTTACATCTGTTACTGTTTACTGAAGTAAGGTTTTCAGCCTTCATATCTCTAATTCCGTGAAACAAAAAATATCAATAGAAGGAGTCTCTCAGAGAAAAAGAACTTTGTGAATAATGAAACAAAGCTTGGATAGAAGGTTTATATTTTGAATGGGAACTTGAGATATGGCGCCCAGCATGGTGTCTGCCTTTGGAACACAAGCGGGGAGAATCCTGTTAGCGCATCGCACAGGGTGTTTATTGTGAATAGTTGGTTGCCGAACCCTTTCAAATATTATAATTCGGGAACAGAACAGTAGGCAGGCAGTGCCATTTGGAAGTGAATTATCACTTCAATTACCGGATATAAACGAGTTGCCCGTTGAATGCACCCAATTGGAATCATCAACGAATTGACGGTATTTCGCAATATCTTCGTGCGCTTCGAATAATCTGTTTCCAGTTGCTACTAGCCACTTTTAAAGTAGTTAAAATTAACTGCACCGAAGGTGACTTTATACCAAGACATTTTCGTCCCGACCTTGTTTGGGACGGTGTTGCCGACTTGATTCATGTATGCCGAAACGGAAAGAAAAATGGATGTGACGCCACAGTAAGTTAGTTGATATGTGGCCAAGATAATCACATCATGTTTTATTTTAACCGGGGTCGCCCCAGGTGGAGCTTAGTGAGCGGAATACGAATACGTGCACGCATCTCTTTTAAGACCAATTCTTTACTAATGGTCTTGATTCATCCACCCATTTCTCTTCAAAAATCTTCACTGGTACATCTTTTTTAAATACGTTACTCATATACTCACAGTGAATGTTTCGATTTGCTCCGCACTTCCATCTTTTGCCGCCAGTGCCTCAAGATACAGAGTACATCATCAGCTTTTTTATCAGGTTTAGGAAAGCCACTATGAGGATCGACTTTCTAGAGTTTTAGAACCCCTTTATTCTAACTGCTGCTAATGGTCGTCAGTAGTTGCTCCGTCTTATCATTAAAAAACCTGCACTTTCCTGCATTTGAAGGTACGACCCCACAACCAGCCGTATGCTACGTCAATACATCACCTCCTATCCGAATGGCAAGTTGCTTTCCCCTGTTGCCTGGTTGAGGTGAGTAGACATTATTTTCACGTTAAGAATGATAGTAACCACATGTTACCATCCCCTTCTATATTGGTCAAGTGTTTCCTAACTGCTTTCTCTACACCACAGGTTTTCCGGTTATATGCGCCTATTCTCCCCGGAAAACGCGCTCGGAATTTTGCGGGCAACTGTTGGCATTTACAACCTTGCATTTTATAACTTCCCGGTGTTTGAAGAAAACAAATTACGGCTCTTCATCAAGTTTTATTCCGGTTTCCCGCTTCGCCACATCTACACAACGTCCATACAGTGAGTAATTCATATAAATGGATATTATTTTTCATTCACGTGACCAAGCAAAAGTTTGGAACTACTTGTACTAATACGTTTCTATTTTTGGCCGGTCCAAATGATAAGAAAATATAAGACACGTTGCGCTGATCACCAGTCAGTTTTTCAGCTTCAAACTGACCGCAAAGAAGGCAGTATTACTAGAACGTGCTCCAGGTCATTACCTTTCCAGTTCCAGTTTCCGGAGTGTTATTATCTTTCAGGGTGAGACGGTTTCCACTATTCCATGCCCTTTGGTTCAACTATCTTCTTGGAGCCTTATAAGTTCTTCTGGGTTGCACTGTCCTGTGCCTTCGATGTCCTGGAGACTGCTAAATGTCCTCCTGCCTCTTTTTCCAACAAAGATAATGGCGTCCTTCTCAGAGGTATAAAGGGCACAGTGGTTGTGTGGTTGGTTGATGTGAGATTTGAGAAAGACAAATTCTGCAGTCACCTACGCTATTTATGACCAGTGGCTTTGGTTTCCTAAAATGGCCTCAACAAACGTGGAAGGGGTCAGTTTCCTTTCGAAGTAGAAACGTTAATAAAAGGACAGGCAGCCTCTGAAGACAAAAACTGGAAAACTTTTAGTATTATCAACTGCTTTTCTGTCAACCACAGAGGTAGATAACCCAGTCAGACAAAACAGTAAAGAGACTACCGGAAGGCCAAAACACTGCTTGGAACTGAGGCATTGTAAATACCGTTGAGCAATGTTTTTAAACCCGTGCTTTTTTCAGTGCACATGTATTACCCCAATTTACTGGGTCGTTAGTCTTTTTACAGAATTTCGCTAAGGTGTTTTGTTGCACATGATAGATATCCAACGCTTCCTCTTCGGAAATATCACGCATATGAAAATGGCTAAATCGAGGCTTATTCTGCGGCACCCGGACAAAAAAGATTGAAAGAAAACTGCCGTATTCAAAAAAAGAAATGAGACTAAGTAAAGAGTGGGAGGAGAAATACAGGGCGGGAGTGCAGACTAAATTCGCATCTGCCCGTGATTTTCCGTAAACAGGCGGGGTGCCCACCGGAACCGTTAGTCGCGGCGCAACGTCATTTTGCTACTGAAGAGTAGCGCGTTTTAAGCTCCGATATTTATGATCCACGGTCAGTAGACCGGTTTATCTAGACATCATCAGGCCTCCCGGAAAGATGAACTTAGTTTGTTCACTTTTACATCTACCCTGCCTTTGCATACAGAATTAATCTCAGTGCTGTTTATCTAACTTGGAGCTTTCGAAGTGGTCGTGCTTGTGTGTGTGTCAAACATCCTCTGAGGATAAACGGTTTTCTGGTTAACTGAGAGGAGTTGAACAAGACTATCTTACAGGAATTCCGCGCCCACTTCAGCTCAGATCTTCTTACGCAAATTACACGCAGCGCGTCTTGTAATAGGCAAAGTTTAGACTCAGGACACCCACTTTCAAAGATTTTCGCAATGAAATATCCACCAAGTAAGAGGTCATTTGCGTCCTAGTTTGGTCTGAATGAGGGTTTCCTGACATAAATGTTTTAAAAAGTTTTTTTATTCAATTTATAATGTCTGCCTGTATCTTACCATGCTGCTTTTCACATTGAACTGGTTTTGACACCACTGAAAAAAGTTACTTGCAAATCAAATTACGACACCCGAACAAAAAATTCAGCTCCAGAACTTTCGTTCATCCATCCCATCATTGGCTTGAATTCTGTCATCGTGTCTCCGTCAGTCCATCAGTAGTTTTGGGCGTTTTACAGCTTAATAACGTTGCAACTGTGCACTGTTCACTTACAGTATGCTGACGAAATTAATGTTTGTGCAGCAATTTCTTTAAAAGGATTAGCTAAGTCTACAGGCATTCGTACACTTCGCTGTGCACTCGAAAGTAAGTGAAACCTAAATGAAAGCAGTGAGCGCATTTTTGAGTATGAATTTTTAGGACTGGAATTCCACTAAGTCTATCGATTTTGACATTCTTCCGCATTATGGGAAGCGCGTAGGTCAAACCGAGCTTTCTTCTGCGAACGTCCTACCGAATACCAGTCATTACCAGTTTCGGCATGCATTTGAGCTGAAAGCTGAAGTTAGTCGCGGCGCAACGTCATTTTGCTACTGAAGAGTAGCGCGTTTTAAGCTCCGATATTTATGATCCACGGTCAGTAGACCGGTTTATCTAGACATCATCAGGCCTCCCGGAAAGATGAACTTAGTTTGTTCACTTTTACATCTACCCTGCCTTTACATACAGAATTAATCTCAGTGCTGTTTATCTAACTTGGAGCTTTCGAAGTGGTCGTGCTTGTGTGTGTGTCAAACATCCTCTGAGGATAAACGGTTTTCTGGTTAACTGAGAGGAGTTGAACAAGACTATCTTACAGGAATTCCGCGCCCACTTCAGCTCAGATCTTCTTACGCAAATTACACGCAGCGCGTCTTGTAATAGGCAAAGTTTAGACTCAGGACACCCACTTTCAAAGATTTTCGCAATGAAATATCCACCAAGTAAGAGGTCATTTGCGTCCTAGTTTGGTCTGAATGAGGGTTTCCTGACATAAATGTTTTAAAAAGTTTTTTTATTCAATTTATAATGTCTGCCTGTATCTTACCATGCTGCTTTTCACATTGAACTGGTTTTGACACCACTGAAAAAAGTTACTTGCAAATCAAATTACGACACCCGAACAAAAAATTCAGCTCCAGAACTTTCGTTCATCCATCCCATCATTGGCTTGAATTCTGTCATCGTGTCTCCGTCAGTCCATCAGTAGTTTTGGGCGTTTTACAGCTTAATAACGTTGCAACTGTGCACTGTTCACTTACAGTATGCTGACGAAATTAATGTTTGTGCAGCAATTTCTTTAAAAGGATTAGCTAAGTCTACAGGCATTCGTACACTTAGCTGTGCACTCGAAAGTAAGTGAAACCTAAATGAAAGCAGTGAGCGCATTTTTGAGTATGAATTTTTAGGACTGGAATTCCACTAAGTCTATCGATTTTGACATTCTTCCGCATTATGGGAAGCGCGTAGGTCAAACCGAGCTTTCTTCTGCGAACGTCCTACCGAATACCAGTCATTACCAGTTTCGGCATGCATTTGAGCTGAAAGCTGAACTTTCACCCAGTGCTTAGAGCATAAATCTTTTTTTAAATTCTACGTATTATGCCCATCTAGTCAGCTCGAAGCACAACAAATCTGTAATGACCTGTCCCCAAATTTTAGGCAATCACCTTATACCACTTATTTCATCAGTAGAAAATTCTTCATTTATTATATGAAGCCAGTTGCAGCAGAAAACCATGGTTGAAACCACAGAAAAGTTTCGCAACAGAGTGACTTTTGGTTCAGTCGGTGCGGTTAATTTGTCAGGAAATTTGAATGTTTAAAGGTAGCCAATTTGGATCTTTCTGATGTCTCCATTTTACTGATACAACAGTGAACAAGTTTGCCTGTGAACAATAATTCATGTGTTGGTAGCGTGCGCTGGTGGAGTAGTTGCAGCAAGTTCGAATTTCATATAGGAAGCCTGGAGTCAATCCCAAGGATATAAACTAGTGTCAAGCTCCTATGAGAGCAAAACTCGAGTTCAACATTTGCCAGCTTTAGTGTAAATCACGCAGAATATTTGCCTGAGGGTGGCGGTAGACTATCCAAACGGATATTATATGGATACTTATTCTATCCGCCCCATGAATTTTCACTTTTCCAAAGATAAGTAAGTACCAAAACGGTATGAATTTGATTTAGTACAATCAGCCTCCTATGTGAGAATCGCTGAGAGACAGAAAGGCCCACTTGACCAAGAAAAGTCTCCTGTTCATGTCCCAAGGTTGCTGAAAAGTCTTACATCGTACCACCGTTTTCACCCTTCTTCAGACCCATCAGGTGGGCGCATTTTCCGAATTTTTGAGCTCTACCTGTACATCAAATCCTGTGTACCTGGCGAAATACACTCATCTGCAAATTAACCTCAACTTTCTTATCTGTAGTGCATTCCGTCGATTAAACATACTGCGATATCTTGAATACCATGCCGGGGTAAACGTAAGGCGGTTTTCGTGCAACACAATCAGTTGAGGAGTGTCACAAACGAGAGGTTCGTTTGGGATTTAGTATCAAACCTCCCGTTTGCACCAGTATAATTTGCGAATGAGTGCCTTTCGTCACCTTCCATTCATATTTCACGTACTTAGTTGTTGGAAGATCCGGTAAACGGTCAAAGCTGCTAAACTTAGCGACACGTGCTGATCCTGCTGTACCTACCTGGTTATTTCCAGTCACGAGATTAGGCATGATGTGTTATTATCCCGCTCTAATCATGCACTATCCTACATTTCAGCCGCTCATTCCAGAAGTTCTCTTTATGACCGTGTTTTTATACTCTAACCTATTTGGCTGCAGAAGAATAAACAGTTTCACCCATCTATAATGCGATGAAGAAATACTATTTCGTTGCCAAGAGACCTGATACATATCTTGCTTATACAGTAAATATCGTATTTTCAAAAAGCGGATCCTGCCATACGCTATCAGTAGCATAGAGTACATCATTTTGGTGGTCAACTGGTCAGTCAGTAGACCTATAGCTCTTCCGATGTCATACGCCATGTCATGCCTTTTCCACCAAATATTAACCAGTTGTTAATTTTATATCAAATATAATTCACCATAATGATATTCAAACAATTCCCATTTGCTTACTACAGCGATTTTTCGTCAACAAACACTTGTAACACAATTATACGTTTTACCAACGACACCGACTCCTCCTCGTCCAACGTTGGACTACGGTTGCAAGGCAATATCAGCCTAATCGCGTATCACTGTCGTCCATACCCAGCCCGAAGACTACGCCTATTTCGGTGAGTGTACAAGAGCCATTTCTCTCCTGTATATAAAATGAACTAAATAATGGAAGACATTTTAGTTTGATAAGGTCAACACCAAACCTGTGGTACTCGAGAAATTAATTACCATTGAAACAGCCACTGGGTTTTTGATATGCCGATCGATAATCACAAAACCTATTTTCGGCAGACAGCTGAGCTTCTGACGTACAGTGGGATGCGAAAATCGGATATTTCCACACTTTGAATGACGCACAGTTCAGCCTTGAACGATTGTGCAGCAAGACACAGTACAATATGCTAATGTTGACGTTATAAGAACGAATGCAAACGAGCTGTGTAAATTGATGCGTGATGCTGGTGCATTTTTTAAAATGCCTCCCCCTGGAATTGATAGACAACCTCTACAGCGAACAGTTAACCACTAACTATCGTGTTCTGATCTCTTAATACATGCTTAAAACTGATCTCCCTTCAAGTCCAGTTAACTCATTTGCCTCTGTCGTTAAGCCCAGCCATGCTACGTTCAATATAGTACCATGGTACACCTCTAGTTTTTTTTGTCCGGCCTCGCATTCCTTATTCGCAGACAGCATCCCGTAGACCACAAAGATAAGTATTTGGTCTTCAATTCTTCAATGAACAACATGTTCCAATGTCTTTCCAAGTTTTCTAAAACGTCTTCAAAGCAATGCGTTACTCAAAAGTCGATATTCCTGCTGTGCAGCCCCACAGTTTTGTTTGGAACGAAGTGACGAATAATCCTGATGCACAATTCTCCATCTTGTATGAAGGTTAATTTTGGCGGCCAAAGTGGTTGGAGTCCTGGGTGCGAAGTTTCGTGAATATGCATGAGTAGTCTGCCGGAATAACGTTGATTACAAGGAGATTTTGTATGTGTCGAGTGACAAAACGCGTCTTCCTGGTTAAACTTCCTAGGAAGGCACTTAGCTGATAGGTACGAGCAACATTACCACTTTTATTGGACCAATTTCGTATTAGACAGAATAAGACATGCACCACACAGTTCTGTAAACTAGGGTCACCTTTAGTGGACCCTTACGGATAGAATTAGACTGACCATTCAAATCAGTTGTGATGCATGACAGATTCATTCGACATCACGCAGCCCCGGAGTTAGAGAGGAAATTGGAGAGAATATCTGTTGTTGGGGATTGAGCAGCGGCAACATCTATATTGACACAGACAATAGGACTTCGACAAACAGACGGGTCTGGATGATCAGTACTAGTGTACCGTAGACATTTGGAGGGCTGTAAGAGACAGCTATAACAATCACTGTGGCAGTTTCCGTGTGGTATTCAGTGTAGCAGTACGTCAAGTGAATTTACGGAACAAACAAATTTGTACACAGGACGGACAAGGTCAATGAGGGCCATAAGACCGTTTGCATAAAATAAGTGAACAGAGTTGATGAATCCTAATGAGAATGAAACATCTATACAGTGCTTCTCGGCCTTCCAGGAGAGATTGGTTCACCTACAGGATGAAACCTCAAATGGAAAATACCTCAAACCATCAATAAACCATAAATAGCTCAGAAAGAATGTAAATTCACAAGAAGGGTGAAACGTCCATCTAAGAAGTTGTCACTCGAGGATTCAGCCAAAACGTGGCCACGTGATGTGGTTTCAATGAGTGAAGGATGAGTGGCGTTATTTCCGTCTAAGTGCAAGTTAATCACAATAATGATATGCCAGACACTTGTTGCCGAGTGCTTAGCTGTTCAAACCACCAGCCGGAAGGGCTGGAGTTCGAAACCTCTTGAAGGGATGCGTATTTCTGAGGCTGAAACAGTATTCAGTGCTTCTCTGCTTTTCAGCATAGAGTGGCCTGACTGGCAAGAAGAAATCGCATTCAGAAAGTCAACCAACAGACAGAAGGGTTGGAGGTGAAACCTGGTCAGCAGGTCCACACCACGCCATAAAATGTCGTGCACCGTACCGCGTAGTGTCACACATTTGGTGTAACCGGACTGCACTTCAGTCAGACAGAGACAAGCCAACAGGGAATCGCATGCAGAAGGGAACGACCTTGGACCCGTCCTGGGTAGAGCGGCTGTGTGCAATCGTCACGTGGCTTATGGCCAGTGGCCTGGTATCCATCCTGACCGTCTACGTTCGATTCCAGTCAAGACGAAATTTCCACCCTTCAGGGACACTCACTTATATGGCGACAAAAATAAACAGTTGTGAACAGAAGACAAGCATAGCAATAATCGACGGACGCTGGACCTAACCAAGCCGTTAAATGTCCGTCCTGTAAATTACCAACCGAATTTCTCAGTGCAGAAAATGGGGAATGAAAATAATAGCGTTGAAAAACGGGAAAATCAGGCTAACTGTCAGTATTCCGAAATAACGTGCAGTCAGAACACATTAGTTCTTATAAGGAACCATCACTAAGATCGATAGCTGATTTTGCTTTGTTCCACCACGCCAGTGAGAGCAAGAACGTTTTGTTGACCAACACCAACTACACGCTAAAGGTTATTAGGAACGAGAGCAAAAATCTCATTTGCACCGAGCATTTAAAAAGTGAAGATCTTCAAACATCCTTGTGAACTTTCCTGGACTTCCTTTGCAGGTCGAACGATACTGAGCAAGCGTTGAAAATTGATTTCATAATTTCTCTACCGAATTTCATTCAGATGTAGGGATGGATCTTCGACATCTGACCAGGCGATACTTACACGTTTCGTCAGTAGTGTATACCGTTACACCCCCCTTGCTTCTGAGCTCCTCCCCTACCTCCAAAGGGAGTTTGAGTCGGGATGTAGCAGTCTGTGTACTCGCTCCTTAAAGCTGTATTTGTGCATCATTTATGACATCGTGCGCACTGTGTCTACACTGACTAGTTCAGTAGCTCAACTAGGCCGGTGCGTCCTGGGTATCCGAACTGCGTTTTTAGTCATCACTAACTTTCTGTTTTCTAAGTTGTCATCCTTTAAAATGAATTTTGTGAGCCTGAACATGTGTGACCGCACGCCCATTCGGTACTTTCAGTGATACCATGGTAAAACCCGGAACTATAGGCGATACGGATGGATTGAAGAAGCTGAAGTGTATTAGACTGAAGGCACACGGATTTAGATGAACCGGTGTTGCTGAACATTTTCGTGACCGGGCTTTCCTTTCATCATGTATAGCCAACGGAAGAATGATCACGCCTACACAGAAAACAAAGAATTTTTATTCATACTTGGACACCCTTAGGTGCCATTGCTGACAGGGGTTGGTGGTTAGGATGTGGTTATCACCTATGGTTTGGGGCATACACCAACCTGGCAATGGAGGCGAGCAACGGGGAAATTCACATCCTATTCAATCAAACTGGTCTACAGGCAGTAGGTGACAGTCGAAACTTCACCGTCGAACCAGCTATCACCGACACCTAAGGAGACTGATATGTGGTTAACGGGTGCCAGTGTTATCAATTTCTTGGCACCCCCGTTTGACAAGAATGAACCTTGCTCACAGGTATTTTGAATTGGGCCAACTCTTCTGAAACAATGCCTCCAGCCCCAAGCAAACCGGTTGTCGCCCATCGACCACATCAAACTAGTTGCTGCAATGAATCAATGACTAATGACGTAGAGCGAATATTTCAAGTTCCGTTGGTTTTGCCGTCCAGTTGGACGCGATGATCGGCTTTGACAACATGTGCCAGATGCCGCAGTGCAAAAGCGCAGCCGATCACAGCTATTGTTCGAACTTTAGAACGACAGGAGAATGAATTTATCGGTCATAATCCAGAGGGGTCCAGCGTGCGCTAGTGGAGCAGTGATAACGCGTCGACCCCGCATCTCAGATGCCTGAGTTGATACCCCGGCAGGGCAATGTATATAAACTGCTATTTAGATCTAAAGAGTGTGCAACTTAAGGCCAGTGCTTCCCTCTCTTTAATGTGGTCTCACCAGAATAATTGTGCCAGGACGAGTGATGAACAGTTCAAATGAAAGTGATCTGAACGTGAATTGCTTATTAGTCTTGTAAAAGCTTAAGACATTGAATATCAACAAAATGCATGAGGCAGACCAAAGCTGCGCGAGTGTACTGCAAGATTAAGCCATTTTTAGTTACGACCCCTCGATATGGATGCAATAGTCAACTTGCCAGTTCGATGAAGCCGGTGTCTAAAATAGCTAACATCAAAATTGCTTAAGGCAAAGTTGACACTCAAATCGATCGCTATCCATATTCGAAGAAAGGTGAGACCCACATATCATTGCTTCTTTACTACCTGTTCACAGAACTTTGTGTAAAACTTGTTCAGTTGTAGCACAATTTTGGTGCCAAACTGTCATGCCATCAGAAAAACACGAGGGCTGGGATACTGCCAAGTTGCCCAAGCCTTACCACTGAGCCATTTGGACCCCGTATCAAGACTTGTATATAAGCTAACAGCAATAATAAAAATGTTATCAATAATACGTAAGAATGTAACAGTGTAAAGTGATACTGATAAAAAATGAATAGTAATCCACTGTGTTTCAGTGTGATTTCGGTTGACTGAGGCAGGAAAAATGTTAATTGGTGTCCGTCAAGAAGAAGGGCTATGATTTTATCAAGTTCGATTTTACTAAAAATTTGCGCACAGGTGTGCGCAACTTTTTTTCAGAAAGTAGCGATAGACTTGTGTACTTGTGCAAAATTAGGTACTTGTTCACGCGGTTTACTTCTTAATGCTGAAAAACAACTGAACAGGGTTTCCATTTTTTTTCGTGCCCGCAACCAATAGACGGGCCCTTCGCAATGTTTCTTTAGAGAAATTTTCTCTCCTTATTTGTTTCAGCCTCCACCTACATTCCTGTCAGTGCATTGTGGACCCACTAACATTCCAGAGGGACGATTTTGATTACCTTTGTGATGGTAAGACGTGCCGCAGTCCATATAGTTTCCTTATGCCCATATGATTTTTCCCGCTATCTATCCACCCCTTCCACTCTTATCCATATTCCTTAGACGCTGTATTGCCGTTTGTTCAACGATATTAGAAATGCACACTGCTCTCACTTGCTCTGCGGGAAGCTCGTCGGTTATGTAAAGCATACAAACTCAGTCCCCATAGTTTTCGATCCCATTATTTCTGGCACGTGAACGCACTCTTCAGACCAGATCTTTGTAAAATTATCTTCGCAGACGTTTTTGCAAAATCTGAGATCACCAAGAAATTCAATGGGAAGCGACATACAAAACTCATCATCATTCGATTTGGGAACGACAGTGAAGCATCTGTGCTGAACACTAATGTCATGCTGTATATGATAACGACTGAGATTATGATGGAAAGACTCTTCTGTGGATCCTGGATCGCTAAATACACGTAAAGAGCGTACCCAGACACGGATTCGAATAGTGCGCCCTTGCACATCACCGTAAAACTACGTGGTGATGTATATTCTATGTCGGACCGTTACTCGACAGTTTAAATTTTCTCTTCTGTTCAGAGAATTCCTATGTTCATCCGAATCCGTGAGTAAATGATAAAATAGTATATTCCAGTCGGTTTCACCTACCCACGTTCACACGTTAGCTTATGAACAACCGCTCGTTGAGAGATCTTTACACACGAACAACGTTCCCTGATTACTACTTAAAAGCTTGATTTGGAAGTATAAACGTTTTAGGGAAAGCACGGGCGCATGAGCCCTCCAGAGGGGACGCCTTCATCTCATCACTGAATCCAAATGTCAACGTTAGGGTTTGAGGGGTCTGTTGGCTTCCATGTCAACAACCACTAAGTTCTTTCATCGGGGTTATGATGATGATATGATGAAATTTTGGAATGGTGTATAATGAACTTTAAGTCAAACACTCGGTAGGTATATACTCAGTCGTCTTGAATTTCTCAGCACTGTTCGAATAAACTCCACACAAATTATTGTATTTTACTCTCACCACGCCATCTTTTAGACCGCTGTTTTTCCTTTTTCATTTTGCAAGTGTGTAAGACTGATTTCCGATTGGAGCTGCTAATTTGCAATAGGTTCTGTCAGCCCTGCTGACTATTGTTTTCTCGTCTCACCTCCACAAAGCATTCCCTTCCACAATGCGCATGGAACTCCATACCACCAATCGGAAACCTTCAACTAGTGGTGAGTCAAACCTTCATCATGAAAGCGTGTAAATGCATTCGAAAGTTTAAGCAAATTCGATCATTTTGCGTTTTTACTTTGATCATCGAATCCTCTTCGACTGTTTTCTACTTTTCAGACTGCCCTAGTTTTTCCCCCATAAATTGTAACGAAAGGTTGTTGAGTGGCTTTTCTTGATAAAACGTGATAGGTGTTGCATCCAACTTCGAAAAAACCAAATTAGTTTGCAAATGAGTGTATATTCGCTAAATTCGGTTCAAGTAGTTTAAATGATTGGCGCAAAGCGTGACTCACACCTTCGCCTGACTAAATACTCAAGATGGAGTCCAATAGTCTGTTAGCCACAGGAATCTGATCTATTTCCTGTCTGGAGAGTGGATGACCCGCCAGTGTCACAGAATGACGGGATTGGGCGCGATCATGGACACACGAGACAGTCGCAATTGATTAGACGGTACTGGAGATTGACCGCAGCTCACAATACAGCATCAATGTGGCTCAAGCTTAGAAAACATTCTTCAAATTATCTGTCAGGACAACAGAACCGCAAACGAAGTAGTGTTTCATGATTCGTTTGGAACAAAGTTGACCGTAAAGATTCCTCTGGGTTCACCGGCCGAAATGAATCTTTGAAAATTCTATGGTCACCGATGTTGTGAAAATAGGACTGATGAAGCCGTCACGCACTAAGTCCATGAGTTCATTTTGCATACAAGCCAACATACTTTTGAGGACGATGAGACACAACTCTCTCTCTACGCTGCAATCGGCTCCCTAGATTCCCAAACGTAATCTCTCACAGACTAAACAGGTTAGAACGATATCTTTTTAAGGGGAGTGACACTAAATCGGTTTCACAATGACAAATGGTTCTTCTGCTTTTCTCTCTCTGGGAGGCAGAAACAGTGTCAAACACAGATAATATAATTAGACCATTGTGTAACCCGACACGATCATGAGAACATTTACTGCCACCTGTTTCACTAAAGGAAATACAAACTGTACGATTTGAGTTGAATGAAACCGTACTGTTAACGAAGTTTCGCTCCGATTTCCCGCTTAGTTCAGCTATACACAAAATACGTCTGTAAGTTGCTTGGAACCACTGACCTCTTGGGCTTGATACGGGTGATGTAGACACGTGACATATGATTCAAATATATAGTGTCATTTGGTTTTTCATTTTCTTTGAAGCTTTGCGTTACATTCCATGTGAATGTGTTTCCTTACGCTCATCTCCCTAGAAAACACGTTAAAAATCCCAGATTATCACATTTTTACGAGTTCTATGAGAATCCTACATTTTGTAACACAACTGGTGTTCTCCAGTGCAAAGACGCTGGATATGGGACTTTTCCGAAGGATACTAATCTGCGGAAGTAGGCTGGTGAATTGGAACCGGCAAACAACAAGGCAGTCAAAATGACTATGCGGTAATTTAGTGGTTAATCAGACTCCAAATATTCTGGCTTTTTTATTTATGCCACTAGTTCGCTAGTGTATCAGCCCCAGTTAGGCAAGCACAACACTGCCTGAATCGCCAGTTGATGGTCGAAGATGATCATCAGGTGAAAAATTCCTACAACCCGAGCAACTTATTCTTGTGGATATGGTGAACTAATAACGTTGTCTTCCGTATCCCAACTTTGTTGGCTCCTCTTTCCACTGTTTGACGACTCATGTCATCCCCTGGAGAGGTACCTCTGTATTCACATGTGTAAAAAATATGTAAATACTACGCATAATTAGATCTCCAGTGTTTTGTACATGCAGTTTGTTGTACAGAATCTTTCTGTACACTCCTCACTGTTATGCTGGCCAACGCTTTTTTACACGGGTGTTAGATCGTCCTTCTGCCCCATCAAACAAGCACGTGACTAAACTTCATTTGCTCACTTGCCCTCATGCTCTCGTCATGGGATCAAGCTGAGCAGCAGGTCTTCAAGGCCAAAAAAGACGCTTGCTTTTATGCAATTTCGTGTTGATGCGATTGGTTATTGTATGGGTAGTTGAAAATCTTCACCAAGCGTCTGCAGTTACCAAATCATTAAGACTGTTCTTCCTCAGCGAAATCGGCCGCTAACTAGTCAAATTCAGACCACACTAAGGTAAGCACGTGATAATCCTTATCTCACGGCGTTTTTCCTGATGATTCTGGTCTGCTCTGATGATCAACGCAGAGCGAATATTTCACTGCTTGAGGTATCAACTTAAGCTATGGCACAGATGGATAAGCCTTTATTGTTGTAAAACTCCAATGATTCCGAAAGTCTATCTTATATGGTAGTCCTTGAGTGTTATCTGGTATCGCTACCGGGCTCACTCAAAGGGCCAAAAACTAACTACGTTCCATCCGCACCTGGAAAGATATACGTACCCCTCTGTGAGTGGTGACTTATCTGTCAGTGGCTGAATGTAGTTGATGACATTTGAAACAGTCACATATGGTGATCTATTTTCAGTTCACGTTGACGTACGTGAGGAACGGATCTCTCCTGGTTCGGCTTTTGGCGAAAGCACTACCACGGCCTTCCCAGGCAGCACTGCTACCCCGGTGAAAAATCATCTCAGTGATCCAATGAGTCCAGACAACGCCGTCAGACTCCATGACTCCCTCGAGAATCTCAACTCCCATTCTGCCGGTGACCAACGAATGACTCGATACGTCAGCTTCTCTCGTTTTGAAACACTTGACGGGCTTATCCAGCTAAACGGACAGCATTACTTGGGACAACTAAACCTGTGTCGGTTATCTTTACCTCCGGTGGAAGAGCACTGTGGTACTTATGATACATTGGCGTATGATAATACTGAAATTTCGGGCTTAGAGGAGTCGTATGGGCAATCTGAAATGTCACCGCGCAAGAAGGGTATCCAAAGCATCTTCTCAAGTACACGCCGGAAGACTAACAAAGAAGCTACGACAGATACCATCGGTGGGTTGTTTGACCAGTGATACTCATGGGTTAATTTCTATAATCCAGCGTCTCGGTTTAGGCATAGTCCAGTTGTTTATCCTACCTAGCCATCAATCCTTTTGTAGTACTGCTAACTTTTCATCGCATAGCAATCTAGTACTTCCACACTTTCAATGTCTTGAGACTCCTATTGAAGATAAGGTGTCTCATTCAATCAGCTTTCTGTCAATGAAGCCAATATGTGCTGAAAAGTTGAGAAGCATTGTACGTTCTTGTTGGGAATCATCAGTATTGCGCGTCTTTGGAAACTCGCTGAGTTTCGTAGTCAGTGGTTGAACACTTAACCGCCTGTTCACTTGTGGTTGATACTCACAATTACTAGCCCTCACTTAAACAGAAAGGTATTCCTTGGAAAATCGATTCTATTCATCTTCAGTAGCAATGAACCTGTCTAATTAGAGTAGAAATTCCCGCAAAAGTGGAGATATTTATCAGAGCCATTGTAATTGCACTCGAAAAGTCAACTTCGTTAGGCAGTACGTTAGTTCGAGGCCAGCTTGGGCATAAATAACTAAAGTTACCGAGTCGGTCGGAACCACCTATCAGACCGGAGTTTATCCTCTTGTAGATACGAGTCATCTCATTAATTTGTTGTTCTCGATCCTGTAAGACAGCGAAGCTTCCATTCTCAACACTAATATTATGTTGTCTTTGGCAGTGATGACGATGATGGTCCCGGATGAATAACACTGCAAATGAATATCATCTATGGTTAGGATGTGATGGAAAATTTCTGACGCTTTTGGAGCCAACTTTTCCATTTCGTTTATTCTAGCTGACTCAGATCTCATGCCTCCACCAACGGAAACCTTGGTCCCACGGAAAGGGCACAAGCGCAAATACAACGTGGGCCAACGCCTGCTCAAGTTTCTAGCTAGCAAAGGTGGTGCGCTAGAAGTACCGGAAACAGACAAGATGGAGTCTCCTGAAGTTTCTGACTTGGGAATTTCCGAAGGTTCTTCGGAAGAAAGTTCATCAACAAGCTCATTACTCAATCTGTTCACTCGCTTACGCCATCGGCACACGGAACTTTCCACGTACTCTTCCAGCCACAAAGGTGGACCGCCGAAAAAAACACGCAAAGTGGTTACGGTGGACGAAATGAATCGACAGATAGTCAGTGAGTCACGATTGATTGCTATATCATTTTGGACGTTGGTAAGAGTGTTGAATGAAAGTGGCACCCGATAGTTGTTTTAACATAGTTAACATAGTTAACATTCGATGTAGTTTCATTGTCAGTTCACTGGAGGGCTCAAAGTGCAGGCTCAAGCATGATATATATTTAATTCAGTCTACTAACGGATGGCATTGCAGAATCGTCAACGTCATGAAATTTACCTAGAAACGTCCCATACTGATGTGCATATATGAATTAGAAATGTCTCCCATCGGGTAACCAGTCTAATGTTGATGGTGATGAAGCCTTTTAGCATGAATACAAATGACCCAAAAGAAACCAGAATACTTTGGACAAGCATCCGACCTAACATTTACTGAACCATGGACTTAAGGTAACACATGACTCCTCCACACGCACACAATGAGTCCAATTAAAGGCTGAACTTTTCAGTCTTAACCAGCACACCGTAAAAGGACATTTACACAGTATGGTGGTAGATCGGGTCAGTTACTAAGACAAATTCAACAGAAACTTGTTTCTGTTGCCAAGTCATGTGAATGATCGAACCGTCGGAGTGCAACACGCCCAGAAGCAAAACCATGAAGTATGCATTTCATGAACCAGCAAATATGTGATTCATCCCCACCGAGGTAAACAACAAAAAATTGAACTCTTTTTGTTGATTCAGATTTACATGTTAAACTGCACGATAAATGCTCGATTGAATGATCGAACCGTCGGAGTGCAACACGCCCAGGAAGCAAAACATGAAGTATGCATTTCATGAACCAGCAAATATGTGATTCATCCCCACCGAGGTAAACAACAAAAAATTGAACTCTTTTTGTTGATTCAGATTTACATGTTAAACTGCACGATAAATGCTCGATGGTATGAACACAACAGTGGAATTTCCATGACTATTTGACCTGACCTAGGAGAACGTCGAATTTCCGTTTTTCGGAATATTTCAAGGCTCTAGTATGGATTGGAAACAAAAGTGCACATGGCCACAACTGGATGGTCACTTGGTTCTCAGCAATAACTGCTTGTCCAGTATCTTTAGTCCAACACACGCTAAAATCACGTCCTGATGACCATAATTTAGGCAGTCTATTGAGGAAAATTCTGGTAGCCCAGGCAGACAGTTGTTGTCCCGTTATCTGGGCTGGGCAATTCGTCTGCAAACGTTTCACCACCAACCGCAATGATAACACTGGTGAGTAATAAGATAGCGGTGCATCGTAGAGCGTCGGTGTTTGGGCTCTGAGCCGTGCTGCACTTGTGCTAAGATGTGTTTCTGATGACGTGATGACTTGCTTGATTACGTTTGATTATGATTGCTTCATTGAAGGTTGGCTAGCTCCTTGAGTGACCGGTGTCCAAGTGACTCTTGGGTCTGACCTATCCTACTTAGATCATGTAACTTTTGACTCGTCAACACCAAAGCTTTGGTTCTTGTTGCCTGATCCGTCCACTCCCCTCGCATCGTCCGACTAAGTTGATGATTCCTTGCTTGCAGGGTACGTAGATTGGATATACTAATAATAAAAACCTGCTGCGGATGTTCAAGGGGACTTGCTATTTAGTCATTCTAGTTACGGTGAAAAATCCGATTTGAACTCGCAAAATCGATCAAACCAACCAATAAGTTTCAGCAACTCGGTGCTGGATTCTCGGGATACGATTCCTATTAGACACACGTCCCACGAGCAACTAATTCTACTCAAAATATATTGTGGCATCGTTTCGAAGGTACCACGTCTTACGCTTTTCTCTTAAGGGATGTACAACGGACATTTACGGATTTTTGGGCAATAACACTGAAATGGACCACTCTGTTTTTTTATAATGCTGCAGAAAATGGACAGCTTGCGTGTATTTCTAAGTGGTTTGTCTGTTCGCCGAGTTTTGCAGACGGGTTACAGACATTCCATCACTGGTCAAGATGCCACCGTCAGTGCATAGTACCAGGTTGAGTGGACGGTTTTCCGCGAAAAAGTTTAGGTATTTGGGTCACACGCTTATTGCTCGTTGTGCGAACCCCCACCCCTGTTTCAAGCGCGAACAAATAGAGTTGGAACAGTAAGAGGCAATATATATATATATATATATATATATATA